TCGTTTCGGGACCCAGCTTAGTGTCCGCTTAATAGAGGGTGTCCGCTTAATTGGGGGTCCGCTTAATAGAGGATTCACTGTATGTACTACGCTACTCAGGGTGTACGAAGAAATTTTTGTGAAAACACGTAAATGCACAAAGCATGTAATAAGTTTTCTTTCCTAAGGAAGATGTCCCTACCCTTTCTTAAACTTCAACTAATAAAATCTCTACCCTTTTATATGCTTGGTGAAACCAGGACGTTTTCCTATCTTTGTCAGAGCCACAAGATGCGTCTGTTAGCCTTTTTAGTTACTTTCACAGACCGAAATTTCAGATTCCCCGGGCCTTTCATATACTTCGATTCGTGGAATCCCATCCTTTCATACACCAGTAGCCTAAAAAAGGCACCTCTTTCGGGTGGAGCCTACCCATATAGGCCATTATAAGGAGTACCCCTCGGGCCCCATATTGGCCGTTGTTAAGAGGCCCGACTATACTTTATTTTCGCTTACTTATTTGGCGAGTTCAAATTTTCGCGATTTTTAAAAGTCGTCGCGAAAATTTTATGAAACGAATTAAACCAATTTTGTTTTGACTATCGATAGCAGCACAAAATGCTGTGCTTTGCAAATTTTTTTTTCAACAAGAATAGAACCACGTGAATTCCGATCTCGTCCAATGTCCAAAACAATTTGAATCAAATTAGCTCTAAATAATTGTTAGTTCTCTCGAAATGACTGGCAATAGATTTCGCTGTTTGATTTTATAAATAATGTATTATTTTACTGAAGCTGTGTGGCAAATACGTAAACAACTAACGTAAACGAATAACATTTCCAAGAAATTATACAGAAAAACTTACGTTTCCCATTGCCGGTTTTTTCTTGAAACTATGGGGTTGGCGAATATTTTTTCAAAAAATGAGATCCTTGCAGGATTTTTGTCGATTTCTTTGTTCTGAAGTCTTAATTATTTTTTCGGAAACCACCTGGAAGTGTCGGAGTCTCGTTTTCTTGTTTTTCCAAGGCCTTAGTCCAAATCCGGATTTGATGTTTGTTGGCATAAATTGGGATTGTGTCTAAAAGTACACAAGAGTGACCACGAGTGACTACGAGTGACCACGAGTGAGCGCGAATCACCACGAATGACCACGAGTAAAAGTTCACCAATTATGATGTTTACATCATAGTGACATCATTATTACGTTACTTGGCAAAACATAACTCTTTAACCGGTGATTGGTAGTCTGCCCCCACCGTTTTTAGTGTCGTCACGCAACGCTCCTCCCCACTAACGCATGACTGTCGAACTGTCGACCTTATTTTCAAGCTCAGAAGATTGGGTTTGGAGGAAAACTCTCTCGCGTGGTTGACGAGCTACCTAACTAACAGAACTCAGGCTGTTTGTGTCGGAGATGAACTATCCAGTCCAATGCCTGTCTTTAGTGTTGTACCGCAAGGCAGCATCCTTGGCCCTCTACTGTTAACCCTTTATATAAACGACCTACCGTCCAGTATCCAATTCTCCAACATCGTGATTTGCGCGGATGACACAGTGATCTATCTGTCGTCCACATCCACCTCGGACATTGAACTTAAGTTGAACCTTGATCAAGCTAATTTATCGCAGTGGCTTCACTACAATAAACTTGTTCTCAGCATGAAGGAGACGGAATTTATGACGTTCGGCACCCGCCAACGACTTGCGAGACAAAAGTGTGATGAAACCGAAATGGATAGTCCATTAAGCATACGGACACGTTTAAGTACCTGGGTTTGTTCTTGATGACACCCTTTCCTTCAATGACCATGTGGACTATGTGAGGATGAAGGTATCTAAGATACTCGGAATGTTCTATAGAATAAGACCTTCACTTACGCTAGAAGCTGCAAATATACGGCTCTATAAAGACATGGTCCTCCCGGTTCTAGATTATTGTGATGATGTGTGGCATGAATGTGGACAAGGAAACCTTATTTTAGAAAACGTTAACTTATAATTAGCTTATATTAGCTAATTACAAGAATATTTTCAGCCTAAGATCGATAGAAAAATAAGAATATTCAGCCTGGACCGGAAAAACAACATTCTTATAAAAAAGAGTGTACAGCCATATACACTGCATTTCGTTAAACTCATAAGGTGGAAAGCCATTTTAAGTAATTCCTACTTTGCAAGAGCATAATGGGACCATTAGGGCTCTTGCTCCTTAGGCAATTACTTACATTAATTAGCCTAACAGGCAAAACCATGGCTTCGTTTTTACACACAAACGTATCCTTATCAGTTGAAATGCCAGCTTGGTTTTGTTAAGTTGTTTAGCCTTTGTGGCGAGGGCGGTACAAGCTTTCTGACCAGTTGAGCCAAGTAACATGAAAGCTTAACGAAGCGAGGCCGGAGACTCGGGAACTTTATGATTCTGTCATATACAAAATGTGGAGTCGCGGGATGAAAAGTAAACCAAGAGAAGTAAACCAAATTCATGTTCACTTGGACAAGTGTTATGTGATTTTCAGCTTTCACATTTCCAAATGCACCGGCCCAACCCTCTCTACTTTTTTAACAGTCCCTAATTGCACATTCGACAGTTTCTTTCCTGCCAGGAGTAGGGACGTATCGTTCGCCAGGATCTGGATCCCCCGCATAAAGATTCAACTATATAACAGCAATGTCAAGTTAGTGTTGTTACATGACCATAGCCAAAATATTTCGCGTGACCGGTAAAACAGTAGACGTTAAGTCAAGATTATGGAGGAGCTTTAACAGCCACGACGATGACGACAACAACATCAAAAAACAATTGGTTTTATGAGCAAAACAACTGCTCACACGTTTTTTGACGTCCACTGTACGACTACGACGCGAAATCTCCTAATGCTACGTTTTTTTGGGAACTTGAACATACGAATTTTCTTTCTCTTTTTTTGAACCTGGATAAATTCCTTAAGAATTCAACTCCAGGAGAAATATCCTACATTTGACAAATTGAGCGGGTCCAAAGAGACGCGATAAAGTTTAAAAGGACGGAAATTTATTTCTTAGCGACCGAACCGAGAACGGCAAACAAAAAAAATAGAATTAGAATGACAAAACAACAACATTGTATGTGCATCACGCTTTTTTGTACATTTCTTCGCCGTCACTGGACACTACAACGTGAAATTGCCCAATTTCACGTTTTATGGAGGACGGGAACACATGACAACGATTTTCTTTTTTGTGAACTTAGATACAGTCCTTTAGAATTCAACTCCTGAAAAAATCGCCGACATTTGACAAATTAAAAGAGCTGTAATTAGAGCGATGAAGTTTGACTGAAGCAGAGCGAATTCACTTTTTAAGTGACGTTTTCGTTGCCGTTGCATCGTCGTTGCTTAAGCTCCATCTTCTGAAACTAGGACGGCGACCACAACGTCCATAACATAATAGGTTTTATGAGCAAAAAAACAACTCTGCACGTGCATCACGTTTTTTTGTACTCTTCTTTGCCGTCCCTGCACAACTACGACGTGAAGTCACCATATTTTGAGTTGATTTGATAACGGACGGAAACGGCAAGGCGATAGATTTTCCTCTCTCACTCTCTGAACTTGGACGCGATCTCCTCTCTTCAGTTCCAACCTAACTTCCTTTCTTTCAAGTAACTGGGTGATTTGAAAGAAGGGCGGAAAACTTTTAAAGGGTGCGAAGTTTGTGAGAAGTACACAAGTAAGTGTCCCTGTTGGTCATGTCAGAAAAATGTTAAGAAAACACTGATTTCAGTGTTTTTGGCCTTAACACATTTGTCATCAGGCTGAAAGAGCAGCTTTCTTATGCGGAGTAGCTTGTTCTTCAAGGTCATTATTGTTTGAAAGTTATCAGAACCACTCTTCAAGAAATACTCGGCCAGCGATTAGGGCCGTATCATCCATTTCCAACAGAGCTGAGAAGGAGTAAGAGAAGATCAATTAGCTAACCGAACTTGTCTAGTGCAATATAGCAATCTCAGATACAGTCGAACCTCCTTGTGCGACCACCTCTTGTCAGCGACCACCTTCCCATAAGAGACTAACCATCCTACACACCAATGAAAGTTTTCACAGTTAAAGCGCTGAAGTTCGATCATTTTCTGGGGTGACGGTTTCATAACTTTCCATCAATTTAACCTCTTGTAAACAACCATTCGTCTGATGTTTGCTGTACAGTGAATCCTCTGTTAAGCGGACACCTTCGGGATCTTCTTAAGTGTCTGTTTAATAGAGGGTAACCACTTAATAGAGGTTGTAAAAATTGCGTAATGTTTGTTAACGATCAATTGATAAATGCATGTTGTTAAAAAAGCTATCTAGACTTCAATTTCATTACTTTTAGACTCATTACCAACTTTAATTTGTTTGTAAATGCAAAAACATTAACTAACTTCAGTTCTTATTTCAAGGACGAAACCCAATACTACTATTGTCAATTCAGTCCGGTGTCCGCTCAATAGAGGTTTTTAACAACAGAAATTAGCCAAATACAACTTATTCTGGTGTCCGCGTCAGCTTCATAGAGATGTCCGCTGAATAGGGGTTCGTTATAAAGGGAAATATCAGACGTTCCTTTCGGGACCCAGCTTAGTGTCCGCTTAATAGAGGGTGTCCGCTTAATTGGGGGTCCGCTTAATAGTGGTTTCACTGCATGTAGTATGCTATTCAGGGTGTACGAAGAAACTTTTGTGAAAACACGTAGATGCACAAAGCATGTAATAAGTTTTCTTTCCTAAGGAAGATGTGTCCAGACCTCTTCTTGGATGAGATCCCTTGTCGATTCCTCTAAGCGACCCTGCACTAAACCTTCGCTTTCGGGATGGTCGCTCAGACTGGACCTGTATCTGTTTTGTTTTCTGTAACGCTGGGGAGGACAGTTTTTCATAATTTTTTCACGGAAATATATATTCTTTGTGTTTTATAGGAAACATTTACAATGGTGTTCAAAAACAAGTGAACGTCTGATTAGGCAAAGCGTTTGGAAGCCTGTTGCCCTCGTCTATAAGGCTTTAACAGGTAAAATGTATGAGTACCTAGGCCTTTTACTAAGTAGTGCGTCACATCTGCACATGGGCAACGGGTCTGTAACGTATGTTAAAAAAATATCATCTGGTCAGGTGGATGAACGGGCTGTTGTATTGTGTTTTAGATTATTTCACTTACTAGTACTTTGTTAGGTAAGAAATGTTGACTGATTAAATATTTGAGCCACGCCCCTACGGGGTCTTACAGAATGAACTTGCAGCAGTGGTAATGGTAGCTAACTCTGTGTATCATATCCCAATCGAAACTGATCAGCCGTTCCATGTTGGTCTCCGCCTTGAGTTGGAATCTGGCCAAGAACAAACCTTGCGGGCACTCGACGTTATGCTGGTTTAAAGACATGATGGACGACAAATCGGGGCGACTGTCCCAAGCTGTGGCCTTCTCATCACAGACCACTCTGGGACTGTCCAGTCTGGTTGTCAGGGCCTGCATTCGTGAAAGTAAAAAGCGAAAGGTTTTCATGTGCCTTGATCTTCCTTACTATTATTGTACTTCACGGGGCTCAGTACTTTTAGCGAAATTCGCGATTTCAAAGTCTTCAGTGCAGCAAAACATGGTACAGACCACGATTTTAAGACCGACAAAATGTTCCCCCTAAAATAACAAATTAAAGGCCTTTCGAAAAGTCTAATTGGAGAAACTGATCTCGTTGAAAGTGTAATGGTGGTGTGCCCTATTTCGTTGAATAAGTGCCCGGGCGCTTATTTAAGATTACGGCTAAAAGAAGGGGGAAGGGAAGGGGGCGCTTATCGGAAGGAAGGCGCTTAATCAAGGAGGGCACTTATCAAGTTTTCCTTTCAAAGAAGTGTAACTTTGAATCGGCTAAGTCCTTATAGAAAAGTAAAGTTAATATTAATAGTCTTTCGTGTATTAAACCAAGCGTACCGTAGTAAACAATAAACACACAAATGTGTCGGTTTGCACGTTTATAAAATATCGATGATCTCATCATCCTCGTCAATGATATGCATTCCTCTTGTATCCCTAATATTCGTGAAAGCGAGGAGAGGGGCCGGGGGCGCTTATTTGATTTTATGAACGAGTGGTTGTTGTTGCCCCCGTTGAGCCAGCTAATTTTTTTTTTAGCGAGGCTTGCGCCAGGCTAAGTCTCATGTTGTTGCACAGACACAGGGCTATCATCTGGTATGCATTTGGGGTATCCGGGTTAAATTCCAGGGGGTGGGGTTGTTCTAAAGACTATGCTTTGTGCGAGAGTGTGGATTTGCTGAAGTTTTGTACCGGGGCTTATCTCCTTCTTTCAAAGCTCAGTGTCTCTCTCAAATTGAGGGGGGTTTGCGTCTAGCTGGGTGTCATGTTGTTGCACAGACACATGGCTATCATACGGTATCATTCATTTTATTATGTTTTTCGTGTATCTCTGTAACGCGCATTTGATCATATATATGCGTCCATTAGAAAAGTTATGGGAGGGGGGGTTTTCGGGCTGCACGAATTGTTTTCTTTCGTAACATATTTCCCTTGCATTTTCTTCGTAAAAATGTCTAACAGGTCCTCGATACTGATCCTTTATGACTGGTATAATAACAGTTAAATTTCGACACTGCGCGCCATAGAGCCTCCAGCAGATCAGTGGCTATAAGAGCATACGAATTAGAACTCGGAGGGTCGTCAGTGCGATTCCCAGCCAGAGCTAGGAATTTTTTCCGAGCTCTCTGGTGTTAGAATACTCTTCTTCCGAAAAGATATTTTTCCTTGATGTTAATAATAGGAGGCCGGTACAAGAATTTTTCCTTCTGCCACTCGGTATACTAATATAACTTTTCTATAAATGCCTCCTTCCCTTTTTAACTCGATACTTGGGATGTCCAGGTACTACTAGCTATCCTACCACAACCCCTACTCAGAAACATTTGAGGTGTAACCCCACTACCCTCAGGGACCTCTTCTTCTTTTTGTTTCGTAGGTCTATGCTACCCATGACCCACGACTTTGTACCCACTACCCAAGACCCGGTGCCTACAACCCACGACTATTAGTTACTCCCGAGAATTTGTATGAGGTTATTTGGGCTTAAAGGGTTAACGAGGTAAATTGATCACTTTATTTATTCAGATCATGAACGTGAATGACTACGTAAGCTATTATTTTCTTCTTACCTGGATTTTAGTTTCAAACTGTCTGATTTTCTGTTTATAGTTACCGCTGTCGAGTGTGAAGAGATCGGTCTGAAAAATAACATAGAACGTCTAGAATACTATTGCATGAGCACGCAGCATCGTATTTGATCCTGTAATACAAAAGAACAAATCCCAATTCTGTTTTTGCTAACATTAACTTAAAACAACATGGTGCCATGCAGCTCTTTGAGACAGTAGTCTATAACGATAAAGCTAACATTTTGAATTCTATTTCTACAAACATATACTCGGAATCATTTAACCTCTGACCTCTGAAGTTGACCCGTATTGCTGGTTTTCAGTGTCACGCCATTCAAAATAGATCAAAATAAAAATCAAAACCGTTCAATAGATAAAGTCAAGAATCTGGGAAATGAAAGGAGGTAAATATGCAAAGATCCTCGCCAAGATTCAGGTCAGAGGAATATTTCGTATACGAGAAATTAAATTCGAAGAAACGTTTTACCCAAATTTATAGAGATTTGTATGGAGACGCCATGCTGGTGCTCATCCGGATGAGCACCAACATGGCAGACGGAAACCAACAGAAACAACTGTTACCGAGTTTTGCTACAAAAGGGTGAATTTATACTTCGAAGAACTCATAAACATTAAAGCAATACTTTTTCTAATACATGAATTGTTTAGGTAGGAAAATTTCCTGAAATAAGTCACTTTTTTTAATTAAAAGCCGCGTTACCCAAAAGCTTAGAAATTCAGCGTAGTTCTATCACAAAACCAAGAACCCTTTTGAAGCGAAAATTTGAAACAAAATTAGTTTTCAGCTGCTCTAATACATCGTGAAAGTAAAATCTCGGGAGGATCGATAGTTTTGTCGTTGGAATTTTGGTGACGTCATGTGAAAACCAGCAATTCAATTTTGCTTTGTCATGTCAGTCTATAGACACAGAATTCCAAATGCTTCATTATTTTCATACTTTCGGATAGATCAGCGAACGTTTCAATACCCCGTCCCTGAAAAAGGTATCCCTTAAGGGCGGAGCCTGGGCTTTTCAGCAATGCTGTTTAGTGCAATATTAACAAAGCGAGAATCTTGTGTACAAGTTTGTATGTAACCATACAAAACTAATCTTAACTTATTACTTGGCCATCGCGCCAATCAAAAGGATCGCGACGCTCAGGAATGTCCCAAAGTTGCTCACGAAGCTCACGGACAGAGAACGGAATTACTTCACACATGTCCAATATACACAAACGGATACGATTCGTCAAACTGATGGTCCATTGGTACCAATGGTACGATTGGTACCAATAGAAAAGCACCCTATTCCAATGGTTCTGTTGGTGCATATGCATCTAATTAAGGGGACTTAGATTATTTTCCCATGTGACCTGGTTGGGTATAGGGCAATTCCAATGGTCCATTGGTACCAATGGTACGATTGGTACCAATGGAAAAGCACCCTATTCCAATGGTTCTATTGGTGAATATGCATCTCATTAAGGGGACTTAGATTATTTTCCCTTGTGACCTGGCTGGGTACAGGGCAATTCCAATGGTCCATTGGTACCAATGGTACGATTGGTACCAATGGAAAAGCACCCTATTCCAATGGTTCTATTGGTGAATATGCATCTCATTAAGGGGACTTAGATTATTTTCCCATGTGACCTGGCTGGGTATAGGGCAATTCCGATGGTCCATTGGTACCAGTGGTGCGATTGGTACCAATGGAAAATGATGCCATTCCAATGGTCCTATTGGTGCAAAACAAGTTCACTTTTACACCAAGTGAAAACGCGCTAATAATTATTATGAACGTTCCTCGTTCTATAAGAAAACCACGCAAAACAAGTTCGCTTTTACATCAAGTAAAAGCGCGCTATAATTCTTATGAATATTCCTCGTTCTATAAGCCAACCATGCAAAACAAGTTCGCTTTTACACCAAGTAAAAGCACACTATGATTCTTATGAATATTGCTCGTTCTATATCCCAATCACGCAAAACAAGTTCGCTTTTACACCACGCGCGCTATGATTCTTATGAATATTCCTCGGTCTATAAGCCAACCATGCAAAACAAGTTCGCTTTTACACCAAGTAAAAACGCACTAATAATTATTATGAATATTCCTCGTTCTATAAGCCAACCACACAAAACAAGTTGCCTTTTACACTAAGTAAAAACGCGCTAATAATTATTATGAATATTCCTCGTTCTATAAGCCAACCACGCAAAACAAGTTCGCTGTTACACCAATTAAAAACGCGCCATAATTCTTATGAATATTCCTCGTTCTATAGGCTAACCACGCAAAACAAGTTCGCTTTCACACAAAGTAGAAACGCGCTAATAGTTACAAAGCGAGGGCGACCTATATATCTAGCGCTAATAATATATCAAGGTGCTGTGAGTATAACAAACATCGTACGAACATTAAAATTGAAAGGTAACGCGTCACTGTCGGGTTCGTTCTGTCTATTGTTATTCACGAGCAAACAACAACATGACATATGAATGTCTTCTTTCCTGAACGCAAGCACTATTTTTTGGTAATTCTTACTCGTTAAAAGAACCCGAAACAATTAACGCGGAAAGGCGCGAAACTAGCAAAGTGGTATTGAGGCAACAGGTTTTAACAACTGTACTCAACTCACTGTGTAATTAACTTCTGAAATTTCTTAGCGCAATTTCATTATCTACATGGAAGCGTTTAAACCAAAACAAGTTTTCAATGAAGAGTTTCCGAAAAGGGTGGTTATATCATGCTGTTGGTTATGACTTTGTATAGTATTTGGTGGCTCCTAAGAGGGCCGTTTTATATTCAAGTGACTGAAGTCACTTTTGACTGTTGACGTGGGGTTTGTCGTGGTAACCCATTGAGGTACACCAGTTTGCTATAATCAAGGTCGTAGTAAAACCATTGATGTATTTAATGTCAACGTTGTCGTTGACAAATTGTATTTGCCGTGCTCTTTTCTCGGCTGTACCTTGCGATGAGGCCCAGGACTGAGCTAGAAGAATCCATCTACTGATGATTTCAGGATTGCACCCCTTGCCGTGAAAAAACAGCAGAAGTTTGAATGTCTCCATATTCACCAATAGAACCACTGGAATGACATCATTTTCTATTGGTACCAATCGTTCCATTCGTACCAATGGACCATTGGAATTGCCCTTTACCCAGCCAGACCACATGAGAAAATAATCTAACTCTCTTAATGAGATGCATAATCACCAATAGAACCACTGGAGTAGGGTGCTTTTCTATTGGTACCAATCGTACCATTGGTACCAATGGACCATTGGAATTGCCCTTTACCCAGCTAAACCACATGAGAAAATAATCTAAGTCCCCTTAATGAGAAGCATATTCACCAATAGAACCATTGGAATAGGGTGCTTTTCCATTGGTACCAATCGTACCATTGGTGCCATTGGAATTGCCCTGTACCCAGCCAGACTACATCTGAAAATAATCTTTCTCCTTAATGAGATGCATATTCACCAATAGAACCATTAGAACAGGGTGCTTTTCCATTGGTACCAATCGTACCATTGGTACCAATGGACCATTGGAATTGCCCTGTACCCAGCCAGACCACATGAGAAAATAATCTAAGTCCCCTTAATGAGATGCATATTCACCGATAGAACTATTGGAATATGGTGCTTTTCTATTGGTACCAATCGTACCATTGATACCAATGGACCATTGGAATTGCCCTGTACCCAGCTAGACCACATGAGAAAATAATCTAAGTCCCCTTAATGAGAAGCATATTAACCTATAGAACCATTGGAATAGGGTGCTTTTCCATTGGTACCAATCGTACCATTGGTACCAATGGACCATTGGAATTGCCCTGTACCCAGCTAGACCACATGAGAAAATAATCTAAGTCCCCTTAATGAGATGCATATTCACCAATAGAACCATTGGAATAGGGTGCTTTTCCATTGGTATCAATCGTACCATTGGTACCAATGGAACATTGGAATTGCCCTTTACCCAGCCAGACCACATGAGAAAATAATCTAAGTCCCCTTAATGAGATGCATATTCACCAATAGAACCATTGGAATAGGGTGCTTTTCCATTGGTACCAATCGTACCATTGGTGCCAATGGACCATTGGAATTGCCCTGCACCCAGCTAGACCACATGAGAAAATAATCTAAGTCTCCTTAATGAGATGCATATTCACCAACAGAACCATTGGAATAGGGTGCTTTTCCATTGGTACCAATCGTACCATCGGTACCAATGGACCATTGGAATTGCCCTGTACCCAGCCATACCACATGAGAAAATAATCTAACTCTCTTAATGAGATGCATATTCACCAACAGAACCATTGGAATAGGGTGCTTTTCCATTGGTACGAATCGTACCATTGGTACCAATGGACCATTCGAATTGCCTTTTTCCCAGCCAGACCACATCTGAAAGTAATCTAAGTCTCCTTAATGAGATGCATATTCAACAATAGAACCATTGGAATAGGGTGCTTTTCTATTGGTATCAATCGTACCATTGGTACCAATGGACCATTGGAATTGCCCTGTACCCAGCTAGACCACATGAGAAAATAATCTAAGTCCCCTTAATGAGAAGCATATTCACCAATAGAACCATTGGAATAGGGTGCTTTGCCATTGGTACCAATCGTACCATTGGTACCAATGGACCATTGGAATTGCCCTGTACCCAGCCAGACCACATCTGAAAATAGTCTAAGTCTCCTTAATGAGATGCATATTCACCAATAGAACCATTGGAATAGGGTGCTTTTCCATTGGTACCAATCGTACCATTGGTACCAATGGACCATTCGAATTGCCCTGTACCCAGCTAGACCACATGAGAAAATAATCTAACTCTCTTAATGAGATGCATGTTCAGTTAAATAGAACCATTGGAATAGGGTGCTTTTCCACTGGTACCAATCGTACCATTGGTACCAATGGACAATTGGAATTGCCCTGTACCCAGCTAGACCACATGAGAAAGTAATCTAAGTGTCCTTAATAAGATGCATATTCACTAATAGAACCATTGGAATAGGGTGCTTTTCCATTAGTACCAATCGTACCATTGGTACCAATGGACCATTGGAATTGCCCTGTACCCAGCTAGACCACATGAGAAAATAATCTAAGTCTCCTTAATGAGATGCATATTCACCAATAGAACCATTGGAATAGGATGCTTTTCTATTGGTACCAATCGTACCATTGGTACCAATGGAGACCCTTCTTCTCACCAGTAACACCAATGGAGTCTATTTGTGAGTATTGGACAACCCTCAATTACTTCGATATACCTTGAGATCACTTCGAGCTCTTTCGGCTACAACAAATATTTTAATTTATTCGAGGAATAAATAAGTTTTTGTTTTTGCTTACCCAGGGTTTGAACCGACTCACACGCGATCCGTCAGATTAGACGCTGAGTTGACGGATTAGCCGCTTGCCCCACCCCGACCTAATTTGGTTTTCCATGTGAAAATTAGCTACAATATCGTGCACTAGAGGGTTCCGTGTGGGAAATGGAAGAAAATGGGCTAAAATAATCGCTTAGTTTAATTAAAAATGATTGAGATGATAAAATGGTAGGTGCGGGGAAAGAAAGCGAGAGCTGATTCGCATGTTACCAGTCCATAACATTTTTTGTTAGTCGCGTGCGTTCGCTATTGGGTGAGCCACTGTATTTTACGCTATGAACTCCGAGGAAAAATTCGAGCTACTTATATACTAAGCAACGTCCACTATGGCCCCAAGTCTTCATACCAACCCTTGCAAATTAACAACATTGTGGTAGTCACACGTGCATCACACAAAAAATCCTCACATACGCATGATACCACGACGACCAAGTGTACGCTCCGATAGCGTGTTGTTAATTTGTTTTCGTCGCTTGTCTTAAGATGTTTTCATAGACTGTTCACAGTCCCCTATTTTATCGTGAGATCGTCGAGGAACTCTTGATTTTCAAATGTACCGAAGGGGGAGGCGGGCGTTGGAGATTATAGCTGTAGGGGGAGGGGGACGAGAAAAAGAGAGGGACTGTAATAACATCACTGCAGCTCGCGTTCACGGAGCGGGTTGTACCAGCAACGCAGGTGTCTGATTGGTGATTAGACAATAGATGTTAATTTGCGTTGACAGCGGGTTTAGTTTAAGTTGCCGACACTGACAAGTCGTTGACAAGCCGCCGTTTCTTTAAGTAATGGTCCAGCTAAGAAGCAGGCAGAAAAACAATAGCCCGCGGCAATAGCGTCAGTTATTTTTCAGGCGCTAATTTCTCTAATCAAATTAAATCTGAATGCTCTGATTGGTCAACGCAGCGAAAAGCGCGAAATTTGAATTTTAGAGTTGAATTAAGATAGCTTAAAACTCAAACGAACAACTTTTTATTTCGTCTATTGCTTTGTTATCTTGAAAAATATAACATATCTGAAATTTAAAAGATTTCTATGCGCCAAACCCGAGGAAGTTAACCTGATATGAAATTACATGAAGATGAGCCCAGTGTTACATCAATCAGCGACGTTGAGAACAACATTTACGTCGGCTCTCACAAAAGAAATGTCAAAACTAGGATCGTAAACAGCAGCAATTCACTCTCACGTGGCGAATCTGGCGAACGCGCCAGTGTCGCGCGTTCATAATTTGTCCACAATACAGAACAACAACAAGTACACAAAATAAAATCTAAATGTTATCTAAATGTTCTGCATTTGGAAAAAAAGATGATGTTGCCCAGATAGAAAAAATTCTTGCATGTTCGGAGAATCGAGTTTAAGAAAAAGCTCTCCTACAGTTTATCTGTTTACAAGGTTTTGATATTACGCTATAAAAATCCTTCTTACATTCTCTCTCGTCCTTGGAAAAAATAAAGGCAAGCTGCAGTCATGCTCGCTAGATCTTCCGCACCAAGAGAAACTCAAACACCAGTGACAGCTATTTATATGATTCCTAAACGACTTCCGTCTCAGACCTCAAAGGTACAAAATGCAAACTTGTGTCACAAATTTCAATTCGTTCATTCTAACTTAAGGTCCACGGCGAACTTCCATTTCGCTTGATGAAGCAGTCTAGAGAGAAAAAAAATCGAATGAGAAATGGGTAAAGATACACGGAATATGGAAGTTTCGAGAAGGGCAAACACAAATGAATAACACATAATGCGCGCGGAGGTGCAAAAATCTATCGAGTTCAGCTTACCTCAAGCTCAAGTGTTCTACATCGAGAAATAAATTGATCCATGTAAAAACAACAAATCTTTCGCTTTCTCCTTTTATGCCCAGCTGTACTCCAATTTCTAGTGCCACAATTATTCCGATCTCCTCCTGATCCGGCCTGACAACGAAAAGAACTACGCCGGGCCCAAATTTCCACATGGCTATTCGGCATGTTGAGGACGGCAGCAAACCATGTTGAAGAGCATTTTGACGATCACTCCGGTGATAAAATACAGTAAATTTGTTATAAATATTCAATAAAGAAAAAATGCAGATTTTCAACGAAGGTAAAAGACAAATTTCCTAACATCTCAAGTGTCACATCTAAGTTGGGGTCACAACAAGGTCGCGCGTGTGTTGCACATTTTCCTCTTTAACTTTTGATTGGCGCATAGAACAATGCTGAAACTTGGCCGTGAGGGGGAAGGGGGAATGGGGAAAATAAAGGGGACAGGGGAATGGGGAAAATAAAGCTAAAAAAAGTTGTTTTTGTCACGTTTCTCTCTGTTTTATGGCGGCGATTTTGGATTTCAGCCAATCAGATTGCTTGATTTAATTGAAATTAATGATTAAAAGTTAGCACCTTTTAATTACTTTTGCCGTTCGCCTGCCTACCTCTTACACGGACCATTACTTAAAACGCACGCTTCAATAACACCACCATAAGGCACATCTTGCGCCAACACACGAAGGATTTTTGGTATTCTGAGGATGAATCACGTCAGCCAACATGCTTTTGAAGCAGCCCGGCCAGGGGAATGTTGCATGCAACACAGTTTCTGCTAAACGAACTGAAATTTAACGCTACGCCGACGCAAAAAAAACGACCTGTCAGAAATGCCTGGCTTTTTATCGGGACGTTAAACCGTTTTAATCTGTCGTGTAGCGAGCATGCTTAGCGCTTCGATTAGGAAAATGTTTAAACTGTGCATGTTTGCCGAATTTATTTGGAGGAATGGCCCGGAAACTGTATAAAATCACTGTTTCGAGCAGATATTTGTAAACACGCGAAATAGATGCTAAATGTGTCTGGCATGTTTTTCATCACCAGCGGAGTTTCTTAATTAATGAATAGTAAGAGGCGTGAACTTCCTGTCACGCCTCCTGAACGCGACTTGTATTGATGTTAGTACAGTCCCTCTGTTTTTCTCTCTTCCTCCCAAACCGCCCCCGCCCCCTAAGTAGTTTGGACACTCACGCAATGGCAGCCCGTAACGCAAAGCGCTCGCTCTCGACGATCTTACGGAAAAATAGAGGACTGTGAACAGTCTAAAGTTTTCAAGGCTTGTATCTTGCCTTTGAGGTCATTCATTCTCAGCGTTTAGTAAAGTTATAAAATTAAACGTGCCTTACCTGTAAGGCGAAGTTTGAATTAGATTCTACCTTGTCACCATGGCAATGAGATAGCATTGCGCCTGCGCGAACTCGTTCTTCAATGACTTTACAGACTACGTGTAGCGCTCGCGTTTCGCTCGCTCTACTATCCCTGAGGATAAATGGGGACTACTCGTAGTCTAAGACTTCATGCATGCCACCATAACCATCCAAACACACAGGGTGGGAGAATCATAAGGGTGGGCACGAAATCTCTCATTGCCATGGTTACAAGGTAGAACCCAAACTTCACCTTACAGGTAAGTCTTGTTAAATTTTATAATTCTACCTTGTCACCGCAGAGAGATCACGTGAGATTTCAAAGTAACTGCATGCACAAAGTTCTCAAGTGACCACTTCTAGAAATCCAACGTATATTGTTTTGTATAAATCTGTCAACAGAAAAACACTGATACACATATGCAGTGTTAATAAGAGGTCAATTAAGGTCTTTAAAAGTGTGTGAGCACTACTTCAGAAAAGGATTTTCTTTCAAGTAGCTTGTTGTGATACTTTGCAAATACACAGTCACTTTTCCATCCAGCAGCAGTCAAGATATTCTCCAATGGGACTGCATTTCGTTTGGCAGCAGATGTAGAAGCTGCACGAGTGCTGTGCGGCTTGAACTTAGTAGCGAATGAGCCTCAAGCTTAATTGCATGTTGCTTGGTTCCTGTTTTAGACTGTATGACATTGTACGTGACGAGAAAGAGCACAGTTGTCACGTAGTCTCAGTTTGTGTCATGCAATTTAAAATATCCAGTAAGTAGATAAACTGGTCGCGTTGAGCAGAGACCAAAGTAACAAGCATAACAAGCTTCAGGGTAAGCTCCTTGAGTGTTAACTTGGATGGAGGATATAAATTAGCAAGAAAATGTAGCACAACTTTACCATCCCTAGTTTCGAAATATCGATGTATGGAGGGGCGAGATTCATAAACAGCCAAAAGACACCATATGTTTTGGTTGAATAATGCATGAAAGTGCAGTTCGTGCAGTGTTCAGAGCACTGTAACCTAAACCTTTCTTAATAGTTTCTAGCAGAAAATTCGTTCCCTAGCCAATTCAGGAGATTCGTCCCACGGGTTTTGTCTATTAGTAGGCATTTTCGTCGTCGGAAATTTCCGTCAGTCAGTCAGTCAGTCAGTCAGTCAGTGAGCCAGCAGTTTATTTATACATCTAAACAGCTAGAAGCTAACAAAAACTCGTTCAAAAGTGCCCGTGTAGAAAAAAAATTACAAAAACCTAAGTAGAACAACAACAAAAAAAATTAACAATTTAATAACTAACGTCCATTACATATTGAATGTCATTATATAAGTATCTATCATTAAAAAAAGATCTAAGCTATGATAGCAAATAATAAAACAGATTAGATAATAGTAATTATGATAAAATAACTTATTAACATATTCAAAGCAAAAACTAGTATACAGATTCTAAATTGAACTTTTGAAGAGCCTTTTAAACACATTAAGAGTTTCTAATGTATGCATGGCGGTAGTTCATTCCACAGCTTGCTAGCTACAAATGAAAACGATTTATGCAACCCCTCAGTACACCATTCACGTACCGTTCGCGAGGAAAGCAACAACGCAATGAGGTTGCGCAGGCGCAATGCCGACTATCTCACGTGATCTCTCATTGCGGTGACAAGGTAGAATTTCAGTTTTTAAGAAATCAATTTTTTTGTATTTTGACCTTACTGTAGACGTTTTTCGATAGTTCTCTTCCCCTCTATAAGAGTACGTTTTCTTCAGGTTCTTGTCTTTCCTCCTTCTCTAACAAAAGTTAAACAAATAAAAGCTTCCAAAGTCCAAGTATCGGAATATGGCAAACGAAAACAATAACAGTGTGGATGACTAAATCATTTATATGTTTCCAGCTGGTTTCATACATACTTCAACTCACCTTTTCTTTTCGATGTTTGTGAACTTCATCCACTCTACCTTCCATTTCTGTTTTCAAATCACTAATAGCACTTTCATGGTTTGACATTCCACTTAACGCAGCAAGAATGACAACAGCAACAGCGCAGATAATTTTAGTGAAACTCAGATTCTTCCTCAATTTATCGCTAGTGACGGTTAGCAAGTTTACCCGCTCTTCAAAATGATTTTCTAGGGTCTGAACTCTTTCTTCAAAGCGATTTTGGAGGGTGCGTAATCTGTCTTCAAAATGATTCTGGAGGGCCTGCACTCTTTCTTCAAATTGATTTTGGACAGCCTGTGCTCTTTCTCCAACTTCAAGTTGAAGATTTCTCACTTCATCCTTGGTGTCGTTTAATTTGCAACAACACAAATGAAGATGATATCTGGTCTCGCCTTCAAGGTGTGATTCAAGCACTTCTCTCTGAATCTGAAATGAAACAAGTCTTTTTTTTGCCATTTTTCTTTTACCCCTAAACTACAAAACAGTCGGTATTTTTGCGTATTCAAGTACGCGCAAGCAGTCAGACAAAAGGTCTGGAACGAGGCTGAAAACAGAGAGCGAGACTAGGGAGAGACGTTACATTAATTCGAGTTACCCGCTTCTACCAGCCACGGCAATTCCAATTGGCTATATTTCGATGCAAGCTGCATGTCAAGTAATGTTTTCATTAAGTCATTTGCAATATTCCGTACCGTGATGAATTCCTAAAGCTTTCGCTGTAAAATGACGGATGTTGATCGCCTTGATTTGCTCGCGCAAGAATTGGGATTTGTTTTAAAATCGGAGTAAAGGGAAGCTTTGGAGTCGCTGCCCAGGGGAAAAGATGTTTTCTGTGTCCTACCAACAGGATTTGGCAAAAGCCTTATTTATCAGATGTTTGTTAAAGCAAAGAGTTCTTCAAGTTGTGTGCAACGGCCCACCGTCATTGTTATCTCGCCTGTGTAAAAAAGGGGGATCGGTAAGCAAAACACGACTTTTACCTCATGCAAAACTACTGCTTGTTCCAATGAATTATTTTCTCTGTCGGGTAGATCATGCTTTGGAGGAAATCTTTTTGACTGAGCAAATGCGAATTTTGGCCGCTTCATACTGAGGGGCCTAGTCTTGACACGCATATTGATTTTCTCTGGTCGGAATGATTTGCCCTCTGACGCCAGGGCATTTTCTGTTTTGGCCTCTTTAGAAATGTAAAGCTCTTCATTGCGGCTGATTGAGGGTTTTAGCTTGTTTAATTTCTCCAAAGTGCCTCCTGGATTTGAATAATGCCAAGCTATTTTCTTTATCTCCGTGAATGTGACATTTTTCTGCAACGTTTTGTCACGCTGGGCCCAGCTCGTTAGCGTTTTAGACTGGATGCTTTTTCTCGCTGACTGTGATTTACAGAGCCAAATCACGAAGAAGTGGATTGGAATGAGGGGATTTAACTTCAATTGCGATAATTGTTCATTGTAAGTTGGCGTGTTCAGTTTTTCTCTAATTTGCGAAAGGACCCGAAAGCATCGCAGCGCAGTTTCTAACCTTTGTTTCGCACGGAGAGCAAAATTTTATGGACAGACATTCTCCTTCCTCGAGGACAACGAAAAGTTTGTTTTCCAGTAGGTCGGCCAACTTTGGTAACGCTTCTTACTTTTCTGGTAGGCGCAACAAAAACACTTTCCGCACTGGGTCCAGAGGAGTTTTATTTAAAGTCTCACCTTTAAAAATGTCTATACCTGTCGCTTAGCACGATTAATTAGCCCAATGGGATCTTTATGAATCTACTGTAAACGATTTCTTCGCTTCTTATCTGACCCAGATCGACTTTGTTGTTCGCCGTTTTGAAAATTAATAACCGCAAGCCGTATCCTCGCTGGAGCACGGCACGTCGCCCGAAGGGCGACCGAGGGCCGTCGCCTGAAGGGTACCCTGCCAGTAGCCTCCCTGCAGACGTCCTTTTGGGGTTCGTTTGTCACGCATTCATTTCTCCCCTCTCCGTGGGGGAGAAATGAATGCGTGACAAACGAACCCCAAAGAACGTCTGCGGGGAGGCTACCCTGCCAGCAGAGTCTCCTTCGATCTTCCTAGATACCTGAAGGGCGACCGAGGCACGAAGTGCCGAGTGAAAAAAAAAAGGACTTCCCAGTAGTCGCAAAACGCACAGCCAAAGACGCAAGAGGTGGCACTCTATTGGGACTACCGAAGAATGGCTCAGTCGTGATGATATTACAGTTGCCTTGTACCTCCGCTCTACTCAGCGCCACGTTTTATTGCCAGAGCACACACGAACTGTAATTTAACATTCTCCAAACAAAACTAACGAGCTGGGCTCAGCGTGATACAGCATTGCAGAAAAACATTACATTCACGAACTAAAAAAAATCGCTTAGTTATTCAGATCCAGAAGGCACTTTGGAGAATACCTTGGAACCCTTATTTAACCGTAATAAAAAACTTCACGCTTCAAGAGGTCATACCGGTTGCATCAGAGGGCAAATCCTGCCGACCAGAAACAATAACCACAGTTAATCGATGTGTGTCATGACCTCTCAGTGTTAAACATGCGGCTAAAATCGCATTTGCTCAATGAAAATGTAGAACCTTCCAGAGCATAATCTACCCAGCCGAGGAAAAAAACTTTATTGGAACGAGCAGCATTTTGGCATGATGTAAAAGTGGTGTAGGCTTATCATCCCCTTTTATTGCTCCGATCTTGCGCACATTTACTTTATTACGTCATTTCCGTCATCATCTGTTGCGATGCACAGCGAACTAAAGCGCTATCTCGAAACCGTAAATTTCGATCGCCGAAAATGAATTTGAAGGCTTTTTTATGCCGTTTCCTACAGTATTTGGCAAATACATAAGAATTCTAGCTCAGGTTAGTAAAATCAGGCGATTTCATTCAATTCCATTTGAGTTTCAGGGATTCGAAAATCGTCCCCAAATTTGTTTCCTCCCTTTCCGTATTTTATACTGTAAGCCGATCTTGCGAGCCCTCAGTCTCTTGGTTTTGCGGTATATAGAATGTGTAACGAAACTGTAACGCGATCAAAATAACCCATTTTCTCAGAGGTTTTCGACAGGCTTTGATGTTCTAACGACAAACACATATTCTCTGGACCCTGTGCTTTCCGAGCTTATCCATCCACTCTTAGGAGGAACAGAAGGCACAGGCTTTGTTGGCGTACTGCCACTTCCACTCATTTTTGATCCTCCACTATGTATACCAGATTTCACTATAAATATACACTACACTTAACAGACAAGCAACGCTAAAAACTGCCAAATACTACTTTAGAATTACTGGATACAGCGCCAAGATTCGCTATTCTTCCTCGAAATCAATCACCGTGTGTTTCGAGGGTAGAGTTGTGATTAGATTTTTGACAGCTCGACGACACTTTTGAACCCCCTGGTGGGAACGAACTTATTGTATGGAAAACAGACAGTCGTTTTTTTTCTCTCGCCCCACACTTTACCGATTTCTTTACTGATTTTGAGTAAAAAACCGACTGTTTTGCGGTCTATTTTACCCCCAATCATATTTTTTAAAGAAATCGCAAATTACGTAGCCTGAATTTCATCCGATTACTTCGAGTCTTCGAAGTAATCGGATGAATGAAATTCAGGCTAGCCCGCACTCTCTAATATTTGGTTATTACTAGTTCTAAATTTAATAGCTATGAATACCGTAAAATTCCGGCAATAACCACCCTCCATTCCCCCACAAACTCGAAGTGCATTAAACCCATCTGGTTAAGTAACCGTCCTCCGATGCGCTTTAACTGACGACAACGACTCATGATCAGATGAGGGAGATTTTGAAGTCACCAACACAGAACTGAGAAGCTGATTACACTGTTTTTGAGACTAACATGTATCAAACTGGGGGCTACATTTCATTTGACAACGTACCTTGTTCTATTGACGTTGCTTTACCTTTTCGAGCTGAGTAATACACTTTCAATAAAGAATTAGTTGTTGTGTTTTACGTTTGCATGGGTCAGTGTTTAAAAGGCTTTACCGTCTCAAGAGTGTCAGAAAAAACTCCATGCCCAGAACAAATTAAGATTTCCTTGCAATCGTAAGCTACTAGCTCAATCGACTTTGAGACGTATACCTATAAGCCCAGCCAATTTGATAACTCACATTTTTCTTCGTATACATGTATAAGTGCCTCCAAAAATAAGCCCCCTAAATGGACCTTAAAAATGAGCTTATTTGTCTTACAGTAGGATCATGTTGAGGAAATTTACATAACCTTTCTTGTTAAAAATATAGTTAGTAGATGGTAGTAGTGGTAGAGCGAAACATGTGGTGTAAGGGCAAGGACAGATATTTCGTTCAAATTCGTATAGAACTAGTTTTTTTAACTCGATTTAGCGCATCGTTCATTTTTTTTTTCGGATAAATACAGTTCTATTAGCTCGTGAAGATGAACGATACTTATTCTAAGAGGAAGGGTTATGAGAATGAATGAAAACGATGAGAAGAATTTGTATGTGGATATTGTGTCTTACACTTAAAGGGTTAAATGGTTAAAAACCAATAAAACTTACCTTCAAGAAACAGCCCAGCCATTCATATGGACAAGGAACTTCTGTCAGTAGACATGTATTTTTAACGTGATCTGAGGCCTGAAAGAAAATAAGTGCCGGTTTATTTACTACAACATAGACCTCTCGTACCTGGATACAAAAAGTTTAATGAAGACGTTTCATAAGAATTAAAATGACGTGGATTAAAGAGTTCCCCGAGATAGTAGTTAAGGGCTACATTGGCGAGAGCAGAAGACTTATGAAGGACAGAATTGAAAAGGATTAAGGAAGAATCAGGCCTTAGTTGTTTAAAGGTTGGATAGTACTATCCACCGGATTAATATCTATCTAACGGATAGTGCTATTGGTTTTCCTTATACTTATCCGCTGGATAGTGATTTCTCCGATGGATAGCACTATCTACTTTTTGAACAACTGGGGCCAGATGCGCCAGCGCCCAGTCCCGCTCTGCCTTCTCCAAGCGCGCCCACAGCAAAGGACACTACAATCTTTGGAGTGAAAAAAAGTAAATTGATCGTGATCCTCACGGTTTTCACGCAGGGTCAAAGAGGCGATTCACATAAGACTTCACACTAATAAAAACATTAACTGACGAATCAGTATTAAAGGATTTAATATCTAAGGCTGAAAATGATTAGCTCAGAAACAAAAGATGATTTAACTGGCGTCACTTTGTCATTTTCAATTTTAATCCCGCAATTGTTTGGACAGGCAGTAAGGAGACCCTCGCAATTTTGTAGATGTGCCTGTCAAGACAAAAAACAAAAGGATATAAACAAGAAATATGACGAAGGAAAATGAATTTTGACAAATATATGTTTTAAGTTCAAGAAACTGGCGCGGAAAGTTAATATAAGTATCTGAAGTATTCTGGGACACTACCTTACAAGCCAACTATAATCTTAGCCTTTTCCAGGCTCCGACGTAGTCACGTCCGCGAAAACACGAAAATAAAACGGGAGGAAACTGGTGTCGGCCTTTTTCCCGCCACCGCCCCCTTTTTCAAGATCACACGCTCACATTTTCGCCTGCCTTTCACTTACGCGTCATCTTTACTATCTAAGAGCCTGGAACTGGCTGAACTAGCCAGGAAATAAAAGCCAACCAGAAACGGGGAAATATTTTGAATAAAGAATTGTCCCTTGCTTTGCGTTACACACGGTAGTATATACGAGGTGAAGGTGTTGCAGAGAAAAATGACGCGTTTATTCTATAATTTCTTGTTACGTTCCTATTATTTGGGTTGCCTAGTTACCGTTTTATGCTTCTCAAAACAAACAACAAGAACCACTCTCCTTTTACCTCCATCTGGCATTGTAGATGGTGTTCTTTGCAATGAAGACAACTTAAAATTCTCCATACGCACGCGTTAACCACGTGTTCAGTCAAATCCTTTCTGGCAACGTTCTCTCCACATTTTTCATTCGTGCAAGAAACAATTTTCCAAGGACAAGAGGCCAAGTGGTTCTGTGAAAATAATCAAAAGGAGTCCCAAGACCCGTCCTTAGATTCGCGCTATACATATTAAACACCAAGTCCGTCAGAGGTAATTTTTGCAAATGCAAGTTTCATAATAGGGCGACGCATCGCGTTATATAATACGTAGATCAGTGCTAAAGAAACGCTTTTGCGTGGAGTTTACTGTCGTTCATTTGGCGCAGAACTCATTTATTGACTTCACCGTGAGTTCACCACTGAGTATGTATGTGGGAGAAAAAGTTTCCTGATAGTCAACGGTGGCCCTTAAAAGTTAATCTATTATTGATCTACACATAAATTCTGAACCGTCGCCGTCCTAGTGCAAAAGTGAAGGAAAAGGCTGTGCTCGAAACGAGTTAGACTTGCTACAAGTTGACCTCTCATAAGTTCTTAAAAGTGAGCGAAGCCAGCGTCAATGCATGAGGTCGCGCAGCGACCGAGCGAGCGACGGTAAGTCTCGAGGTCGACTTGTTTCGCCTGAATGGATTTGAATCATATTATAAATTCACGCGGGAAAAAATGATTGACATATGCCGTGTCGGGAGCGGCGTGAAGTATCACTCACTGTCCTATTGGTCAATTGTCATGACATCACTGTTAGAATTTTCGACCGGTGAATTTCGCTCCAAACAGGTATGAAATGTCCTTAAACAAGTATAAACAACCAGGGAAATAGGACTTTTAGAAAGTCCAGAAAAGAGTCATATTCCAGTCTCCTAAAAGTTACAGGAAAAGGGGCATTGAATGCTCTTTTGAGTATTGGGGATGGAAATTTGAACAACCAAAAGTTTATTGGACAGGGACGTTCGAAGGAGAAGGCACGTCAAAGTTTCGAGGGTAAACAATCCTAACCTCTTTTTCTCTCAGTTCACCAGTCCACTTGCAACACTCACTGGGACACTTGATGACAAGTGACAACACCCTTCTTTCGGCTAGTTTGTCAGGGAATATGTCCTACAATGTAAAAAAGGAAGAAGATACTTATTCAAAAAATAATTTCCTGATTGTTTTTTCTCTCCTTTTAGTAAAGTTGAGCTCTTTGCCTGTGTCACAGTAAGAATAAGGAAGTGTAAGATACAACGATGGCAACGGAGACGAAAACGTCACGGCCTAAACAAAAATATCCAAGTTGAAAAGGAAAACTGTTCACGTTGTCCATAAAACGTGAAACTAGTCAACCTTACGTCAAAGTCGTGCAGTGACGGCAAAGAAATTACAAAAAAAGTGCGATGCACGTGCAAAGTTGTTGTTTAGCTAATCTAAACCTTTTGTTCTTTTGACGTTCTCGTTGCCGTCGCAGTAGTGACGTCTAAAAACCAGTTCCTATTGCACTTGTAATACCTTATTTCGTTCCAGGGCTTCTCTGTCCGAAGGACATGTTATCTGGTGGCCCTCTTGCTCCTGCCTTTGATAATAAACATTATTATTCATTTAAAATATTTCTCCGCTTCTTATTGGCTAGACGATTATTTTGAATAAATAAAACAAAATAAAAATAAAATAAATTATTGCATTCGGCTTTCGTATCATATGAAGAATTATGGAGATCTCGAAGGGCCGGTTATCCGCCTCGATCTCCATTATTCTTCAAATGAAACTCAGCCTCATTCAAAAATTGTTAAATATTGGTCATTATTATTCATTCAAAATATTTCTTCGTTTCTGATTGGTTAAAATCACGAGGTTGAGTTGTTTTGGTAGTAAGAACAAAAATGTCCCAACATTTTACTTGTTCCACCGGCAAGAAATAGGCCCACGATTGCCTAATAACATAGCAAGAACAGCAAGAAGACAACTCGAAGGGCGACATCTGCTATTTGGAGAATATTTGCGAAGCTGAACAACCCTTGGCTCCTAAACTTGCCGATTAACGTGCATTATCGAAGATGAACTTAACATCGATGGAAGTAAGCATGTTTTAGCCTGTTTTTAAACTAGGAATTTTTTGAATGAGTAATAAGACAATTATTGAATTCGGCTTTGGTATCATCTGAAGAATTATGGAGATCTCGGATGGTGTAATAACACCCTCCTCGATCTTCACAATTCTTTAGATGATACTCAGCCTCATTCTATAATCGATAATTATTATTCATTTAAAATATTTCTCGGTTTCTAATTGGCTAAAAACACACGCATAATTCAAAAACGTCCCCACGGCTTTTCAGTGGCTGTCTCTTTTCTAACGATAGCTTAATAGACGTCTTTTTAGCAAAGCTCTTGCGTGCGAGAAGCGCCCTCAGCGAAACACCATGGGTAAGGAAATTTGGTATCTATGCATCCAATAAATGTTGTTTCTGACACACACTTTTTAGATAAAAGTCCCAGGCATATACTTTTTGTGTTTAACTTGGCATTGGACATCCATGTTATGGTCAATCGACAGCTGTCAAAGAGGGTATCCACTGACCAGTGTCACTTGACTTTATCGCGGGCTCAAATACACAATTCATTGAGGTGACGTATTTTTAAAGTTATCTGCTGACGAGTTTTTGATCTTCAATTGATCGCGGACCTAGGTCCATTTTTAAAGGTGTAATTCAGTTTGCTTTCTGCCTATGGCAAAAATTGAATTACTTCAGAAAAACATTTTTTTAAAAGATTCCTCAAGAGCTTCGCTTTTGGCCTTGGCTAGCTTCTTCCAAATTTGGACAACGCTAGCATGGTTATGGAGAACTAGCGGGAGAAATGGGGGCAAATATTTTAAATGAATAACAAGCGACGTTGTTTTGATTAAAATGTATTCTTATTTTAAGAGGGTGTAAAACACTGCGGCTCTGGCCCTTTCTCCTCTTTTCTCATTTTCAGCCTATTTTAATCGGCATCTAATCAAATGCTCCATTACATGATCGATGAAGTGATTCATGACTGAACACAAACATCACATGTGCAAAGCAGTTTAAGATTCTGACATTACAGTTAGAACATTCCAAAGATATAGTAATTTTTAGCGGGTTCCCAACAGCACGATAGCTGTTACTGGATTAGAAACTACAAGTACACTTCGAAGCCTATAGCCATCACAATCAGAGAAGTAAAGTTATTCTCTTCAACTCTACTTTAACCACAGCGTTACGCTTCGCTACAGTCAAATTTAATTAAATCATAAAACTTACACACAGGCTCGTTTAAGTTGTTTGCGAACACATACAAACGTACTCTAGCGTTTAGGGCTGTACGCTCTGGAGCGACTTCATCCGTTTAAAAACAGTACTCAATACCAAATACTAAAGCTTTTTAAAAGAAGATATTCTTAAAGAATTTTCAAGTCTCAATTGAAAGTAAAAGGAAGCTTTGTTCGCGTTTTATTATGAGGAATTAACTAGATCATTATGGGCCTTGCGCCGACTGTGTTGTATCGGTTGTGTCGGTTGTTGTTATATGGGCGGCCGACAACAAGATCATTAAGCGTAGTGTAACCTAGTGGCAAGCATCTGTATTCCTTGTATCCTAATATTAAACCCCTATACCTAATTAGCTTATCTCCGATACGTACGAAACAAATCTAGTAGACACCAGACAAATGCAGATCGGACTGTCTGAACGGAACACTTTGATCGGGTGCCGTTCATTTAGACACCGTTTTGTATTTGGTGCCATAAGTTGAAGGTACTTGAGAAATTTACTAGTACATCCTTAAAAGCAGGGGCAATCTCTTTCAATACCTATCACAAAGATCACTAACAATCAACAAGTTTTACCAAGAGCTATCTAGCCTACTTGTATAACACAGTACCAAAAGATCATGATCTCTTGACCGGTACTGATAATGTTGTTACTGTAACATATACAATATACACATCTGATAAGAACAGAAAAACTATGAATCCGAAGCTTTCAGGTAGTAGTGCAGCTAGGAAGTCTAAGAATACCTTCGCATATATTCCTCGAGACACTGCCGGCAAAACCTGTGACCACATCTTGTAAGAACCGGTTCTTTCGACGGCAGAAAACATATTATGCAATGAAGGTCTTCATCAGGTGGGTTAACAAACTGCTCGTCATGACCAGATGGAATTGGACGGCTATTTCCTTCTTCCGCCATTGCTGTTAAAGCCAATCTCGTCCCCAGGGTCTTCTCGTTTTCCAATATGGCGGTGTCACGGCGTTTTGGGCATCCCCATTCCCAAAGCCCTAGCGTTTTGGGCATCCCCTTCTCATATTACTGCAGCGTTTTAGGCATCCACTGGTACCCTCCCGGGATGCCCAAATCCCTAGTGTTTTGGTCATCCCCTCCGAAAAAATTCGGGATTTTGCGGGAAAATCGAAAACGTTTTAGGGATGGATTCCACTAAATATAGAAATCTTTTTCCCGTATCTTAAAAAGAAGGTTTATCCAGAGGGCTTTACAAAATAAGACAAAACGACTCCGCGAAAATTTGCCAAAAAGTTGGAGTATGACTCAAAATTAGAGTCCTTGTTCCACGTGGCCAAGGAGAAGGATGGCACAGCGCTTCGACGACTTGTTATCACCGAGGAAGAGAAAGCGATCAGGGTCTTCAAAGAGTGCCACTCTGCTCCTTTTTCTGGACACGCCAGCCACGATAATAATCTTAGGAAAATCAAAGAGCGGTTTTACTTAGCCTGCGTGGCAGGCGCAAAAAGGGGAGGGAGAGGGGAAGGGAGAAAAGCACCCTTTTCGACGCCTGCTACGCAGTCTAGGTTTTACTGGCCTGACTACTCCAAGGACACGATTGAAATGGTTAGTTACAAATTTTATTTATTTGCCAATGCACCCTCTTGATCATGGTTTTAAAATGCCCGTGTTGATAATCGAAAACATACGCTAAATTTCTTCTGTTTTCAGTGTTCTTTGAAAGGGTGAGGCATAATTGCATCTTTTGGTAGGTTGTCAAAGGGCATTGTAAACCGAAGTCCTTCTTATAGCTCCCGTTTGTTATTATGTTATGTGAAGCCAAAGATCAGAAGTTATGTTTCTGAAGGGTCAAGGTGACAGATTTTCTGTCAGTTGATCTAAGTGTGGCCTTGAACATCCATTTATATCACGCCGACTGTCACGCCTGTTACATCAAAAATACCTTCTGTGTGCGCCAAGTACAACATCTCTTCTTGTGACCATCATTGGAGCGTCCATTTATCATCACTACATTTTCAGTTGTTTTGTTTGTTTGTTTGTTGTTTTGTTTTCATCAGTAGTTGTTTTCTTCTCCTTAGATAAAGCGTTGAGACCGGTGCCAGAGAAATGTACCGGAAGTGAAGGCCTGCAACGTTTTGCACCCTGTGAAGGTTGTTCCCAAGGTGTGGTAATTGGTCGGAATTGATTTAATAGAAGCCCCTACTACATCTCAAAACGGCAACAGATTTCTTCAGTCCCGTAGGTGCAAGAGGCCTCTGTAATTGTGTCACAGCCTTTCGTGTATCAAGTAGCGCTGCGGGGTTTAGTTGTACCGGCCTCAAATGTCATGAAGCCTATGGATTCAACACCGCAAAACGCAGTTTCATTCATGTTTGTCTTTAGATTGCTTTGTTTAGTATTCTTGTTTTTGGCTGTTTGGAATCAGACGATCGCAGCTGCCGGCGATTGCGGCATTGCTTGCTTGTAAACAGTTCTAAAATTGAAGCTTTGCAAACAATGAAGTGTTGTACAGCGAAGCAATGTTATGCGGTTGCAAATTTCAGTTTCGTCATGCTTGAGCCAACGTTTACTGCCTATGGGTTTTTTTCTGCCGGCGGAATAAACCCGGCGAAAAGTGTCAGACGATATAATTCTAACATGCATCTAGACTAGGGATTGTGGTATAAGGTTTTGTTTTGGCTAGACTGTGCTAGTGACCTCAGTAGTTTCTGGAAAACAGCTACTCTAGGATAGGGGGGATTTGGGGAGTTTACTCTAGTATAGGGTAGCAAAATTCAACTGAACTAGCTCTGGTATAGATTAAAGGTTCCAGGGTCCCAGCGGCACATCCCCATCCAGAAATTCCTAAAGTACCCCCCGGGGGGCATCCCCCACCGGGGATGCCCAAAACGCTAGGGATATGGGAATGGGGTTGCCCAAAACGCGGGGATGCCCATATCACTGTGTCAGCAGCAGGAGAGATGTATAAGCGATAAGGGTTGTGACTACCACATCGGTTGTGACTAGAATGGATACCTCAAAATCAGGTTTGACACCTTATGTTTATTTCACAACGCTATACTCTACACCACGCTACATTATATTTAAGCGAATTTACTGGGCATGAAAACTTTCAGAAAAGTGAGATCAGAGTGAGAGACAGTTGTACAAGGAAAAGAGTTTAATACAATATATAGCCAGCCAAGTTAACGCTGACTGTAACAATTACAGTATAGCCACTTCTTTTTTACTGAAAAAAAATGGTGTGATAAATGAGTAATTAGCAGTTAGTTATCGACGAATGGCCTCTTTCAGTCAAAGAGAATACTGTCATTGTCAGCATCTGGGACCTGGGACTGAAGGACTATCTTACCGTGATGATGACAACTGACAACTGTGGTGGTAGAGCTCTTCCGGTTACGGCCCCTAAATTGTGAAATGCCTTTCCCCAAAACATCAAGGCAGCAAAGACTGTTGACAGTTGTAAAAAATGACGTGCTGAAAACTTTCCTTTTCAGCAAAAATGTTTAAATTCATAGGCTGTAAAACGTTATATAGTGATTTCTGCTGTTAGTTTCATCTAGATGTTTTATTACTGTAACGTGCATTTACATCTTTAAATGCACCATTTGGTGTATAAGTATGTTCTTCTTCTTCTTCTATCATTATTATTAATAAAATGGCAAATGCTTGTACAAACAAACTTAGTGCAGGGCATCCTTTATTTGTTTGCTTGCAGTCCTTTGTCAGGGAACACAATTGAAAGAACAGTAAACTGATCCTTACGGCAAAGGAAAAGAAGAAAGTAAAGTTAATCCAATGGTTAAGTTTATTTGCCCTTCCGCACCTGTCACTGTGACAGAATATGTTAAAAGAGATCCCTCATTATAAAGATTTGGTTTTATCAGCCAACTTAGTAGGGTAGATTAGCCACCATAGGGACAGAAGTTTCGTTTGAGGCCGCGGTTTCGTCAGGTCTTTTGCCATTCCATGTCCATTATTTTGATGCCAATATTTTTTTCTTTACTTTCTTTTTATCATCATATTGTTTTTTTTACTTATGCAACTCATGGACTTGTTGCTACCTTCCCCAGCTATCAAGGTATTTCAGTGAAAATTCTACTTTTTAAAGAGGATTTAAGTGAGCTCCAGCCTTTCCCTGGAAAACTGATTCTTGGGTTCTAGAAACGCTGGAAACAGCGTTTCTGAGTGGTCTATTTTTAAATTTCCCTGGCGGAGCATGCCCACAGATCCCCCTAGGTAGCTCGCACCTTCGGCCCTATAAGGCGTCTTGCTTCGCTAACAAAATTTCGCGTCCGGTGCTTTCAGGTATATGTCCACTACAGTTGACTCCCGATAAGTCGAACCTTTAAGGGAAATCGAAAAAAGTTCGAGTTATCGGGAGTTCGAGTTATCGGGAGCTCGAAGAAAATAGCCGAGAGTAAGGTAAAAAACAGTTTTTACTGCACAGTGAACATTTTCATCACATTTAATTGTAGAAATGTCCTCAAATGTCAAGTGAAAATTAAAAGATACTTCTAGATTATAAATCAGAACGTAACGAAACAAAACACAGCCTCAATAGATCATGCGTTTTACTGTTTTGAGAAGTAAAGCTGCTTCACGTTAGCCTGTGACTATACTCCTACAACACGTTAATAGGAAATCCAAAATTCAATGTTTCGGACGCCAGTAGACGGCTTTTTTCCTTACTTTTTAAGGGCTCAAAACATGGTTCGAGTTATCGAGGGTAAAATTATATAGAAAATGACCTGAGGGGAAACGAAAATTGGTTCGAGTTAGCGGGAGATCGAGTTATCGGGGGTTCGAGTTACCGCGGATAAAATTACAGTACATGTATGACGGAAATCCAGGGGAAATCGATTTTGGTTCAAGTTAGCGCGAGGTTCGAGTTAGCGAGGGTTCGAGTTATCGGGAGTCGACTGTACTTTTAAAAACTGTCGAAAACCCCATAGGGAGATCGACAAAATGACTTTTCGACCGCCAGCTCTTCCACCGTCGTCAGAGCAAATCGGCTGAAGTTCGCAATATCACACACACCAGAATCCACTGTCAGCTACAATTTTCTAATTTTTACGAAACCGGAAATTCTTTTATTAACCATGGGAGAACGGGTTTACTCCTTTATTAAAATGATGGAAATATTCATTAGAAAACTTTGATAAAAACCGTAAAACTATAGCAAAATTTTGTTTTGTGACCGTGGTTCAAAACGCCCTCAAAGAGGTAGCAGTTCTATAACTTCCAATATTTGCACTGACAATTTTCAGCTACTTTAATTGAGTTGATAAAATTTCCTTTCATTTTTATGCTTCAATTCCATAAAACTCCCTTTACTGCAGTCGTAAGATCGTCGTGCAGATCTGAGCACCTTAGGCAATATCAAATCACAAATGTACCCCCTCCCTCCCAAGTCGGGCGAGAAAAAAGAAGAGTATAAGTGTCACCTATCGGCTCTCAAAACCCCAGTGCTATCAATGTTGCAAAAAATGTCTCAAGATATCTTGCAGTTGTCTAAGTTTATTCTGTCATTGGCGTTTAATGATTAATGTCTAGCTGTTTGCGTTAATGGTATATTGTTGCTGAGTTTTGTCGCTGTAGAATCAACCCAACATTAGGATATCCAAGCTATACCAAAATATATGCTGGAATCCTAACTCTACTTATAAAAACTACATAAAATGCAGCATTTAAAGGCATACATTACTGGACGAAAAAATGGGATTTGCTCAAATCTGCCCCTTGCAAATATGTCGCAACGAGTATGTGAATAATGAGGCCGAGTATATAAATATATGGCAAAGATGGAAAATGCCACATTTGCATACAAAAAACAGGGGGTTTTAATAACTAGACAAATGTGACATTTACTATATTTGCCATATGTTTACTTATCAGTATTTATATATTTGCAAGGAGCAAATGTGTACAAATCCAATTTTTTTGTTCCCTCTCAAGTTTACCGAGCTCCGATCCGTCAATTTTCCAAGTAAAGAACTAACTCAGTTAACAGCTTTAGCCTAAGCAACTCTTACTTCTGTAATTTATGGTTG